CGAGGGTTATCTGCGCTAGCCGTTCCTAATTTAGCAGTGTAAGACTAGAGGGAAGGCAGCTAGTCATCACCACCCACCGCCAATTCTTGAGCTGCTCTTTTACCAAGAAGAGTGGGATTGACTGTCATATTATAACGCCCCATGATTGAAAGGGCGAGCATGTTTGGTGGGACGGGGGTTCAAAGCCGTGACTCTCAGACCGTGAGTCAAGCGCCCTAACCACATGGCCATGGCGGGCCCTAAAACAGGCAAATCTTTGTATGTGTTCATCAATTTCATTCTGTCTTTGAGAGTTAAGATATACATATACCAAACTGTGAAGCTTTTAACTAATTATTTATGTCTAAAAATAACGTGTAAATTTATGAATAATTTAAATATTTTGTGATTGCTTACCTTTGACTGAAGATGTTGGATTACCAAAAAGTCTGTCAAGTTCTTCGTTCATAGGTTCATAAGGATATATTTTGAAGTAGCTTTTGTGTGCTTCGTTTGAAAAACTCATATTTGCTTCCAACAGATCACCATGCTTTTAATTGTTATTTAGTGTTAACTTCGTTATGCTCATCAAAAGGTATAAGAATAGTTATTTCAACTATTTTATGCTTTCGAAATTTGTATTTAAGTTTGAAATATGAAACATGTACATGGAATGTTATCCAAACGATATATATATATATATATATATATTCATAACAAGCTATATCCAAATGTGTGTTTTTAGCCAGAAGTCAAATAAAAATTATATTTTCCTTAATTAAAGCTTGTTCCCACGTGATATTATTTTGACATATCGTGTTGGAATTTCATCAACCATATTGTATCCTAAATACTTAATTATCGCGATAATCGAACTACAGATGAGGATATCTACATGCTATAAAACTTATTGCGAGAAGTCATAAATTAAAAGTGTTTTAAGTAATTATACTTTTAAAACTGGGGAACATTCTACCTAATATTTCACTTAATTTGCACGTTCTTGTTTTCTATTCATTTTTAAGGAAATCTTTTCCATTATAATGCTATAAACTTTCTAGATTTTTCAAACTAATTTCTTATTAACTGTAGCTAATACCTCAAGAAAACGGCATTCAAACTATTTATATTTTAAATCTTACTAAAAAATAATGTCAATTATTTCGTATGTGGTAATGTTTAAACTCATATTTCTGTAAAGTAATTCCATGCATAATCATTCCTGATTCTAACTACAAAAGCACATAGATTGCAATAACTAAATACGTAAGCAAAGTTTAAAACTGTCGAACAACTTTTAACCGATGGAGACGTCATCCTTCAAAAAATAAGAAAGAAATATATATACGGATGATGTTAATAAAAATACTCTTGTTTGACCGAATAGTTAGCTTTTCAGTCTCTCTTTCGGCTCCGAGCCTTTAGATTCACAGTTCGAACACGCTATCGAGATGGCCAACTGGTCGCATCTGAAAAAAAAAAATCACAAACATCTGACATATGATGAACACAGCTTAATATCATGATGTGATTATTGTTTGTTGTTAGTTGCTTGTTTCAAAGCAAAGCCACATTGGGCTATTTCCTGTGTCCATCATGAGGGGAATTGGACCCAAGGCTTTGGTGTTGTAAGTCCTTAAACTTACCACCGTGGGACATCATAATGTAAAATAATATATATTTATGGATTTTAACTGATAAAAGTTGTTTTTCTATAACATGTTGAACTCTAGAGGAAGGGGACGATAAATTACAATAACATCTCAACAAAACAATTTGCGCTATACATTTTGAATCACCGACTCTTGTTTCCAGTCCGGCTCGGGTAACTGTATGAAATAAACCGACTTGTGTTTCCAGTCCGGCTCGGGTAAGTGTATAAAATGAACCGAGTTGTGTTTCTAGTCCGGCTCGGATAAGTGTATAAAATAAACCCAGTTGTGTTTCTAGTCCGGCTCGGGTAAGTGTATAAAATAAACCCAGTTGTGTTTCTAGTCCGGCTCGAGTAAGTGTATATTGTGAGATTTTCCACAGTATTTTAGTTATTCTAATTGGAGTAATATATCTTACAATTAAATTATATTCAAATTACATATACACATTAGATGTGAAGTACTTACTTTTTATGTATGCGAAATTGAGTTTAAACACAAAACGTTTATTCAAATCATACGTTAATAGACAGTTTAATGTTTTTGTTGTTACTCTAAACCCAAAACATTTAACTAAACCATACGTTAATAGACAAGTTACTGGTTTTGTTATTACTCTTAAACCAAAACATTTAACTAAACCATACGTTAATAGACAAGTTAATGTTTTTGTTATTACTCTAAAACCAAAACATTTAACTAAACCATACGTTAATAGACAAGTTAATGTTTTTGTTATTACTCTAAAACCAAAACATTTAACTAAACCATACGTTAATAGACAAGTTAATGTTTTTGTTATTACTCTAAAACCAAAACATTTAACTAAACCATACGTTAATAGACAAGTTAATGTTTTTGTTATTACTCTAAAACCAAAACATTTAACTAAACCATACGTTAATAGACAAGTTAATGTATTTGTTATTACTCTAAAACCAAAACATTTAACTAAACCATAGCTTAATAGACAAGTTAATATTTTTGTTATTACTTTTAAACCAAAACATTTAACTAAACCGTACGTTAATAGACGGGTTAATGTTTTCGTTATTACTCTGACGAGAAACTAACATTCAAACTAAAATAGTGAACTAACTAGCTTTATTGCGTCACAAATTACAGAAAGTGCGAATTATTAAACGCACACGAGTATATATATATATATATATATATTTAAACACTCACTAACCCACGTATTTTCACAGCACAGTAATCCGATTGATCTTATACGTATACATTTTAAGGATTGTACATCAGACAAACAGATATTACAATGTTACGTGAAATATAATTCCATATTACATTTTCATACCGACTTGTTTGTCTATAAAAATGTTTAATATTCTGCTTATACTTCGAAATACCTATTCATTAATGAAATATGGTGATAAAAACTCAGTCTTTAAACATAGACACCTACGATAAACAGCAGGAAATAGAGAATCAATGTTACTTACATCAATGTTTAAATTACATTAAATATTTCCTTGTTCTTATCATGTAATAAGTCTTGCCTGTAAGGTATAAGTAGAACTTGTATATTTAAGACCCTGAAATAAAGAACATCACCATTGGTTAAGCCCCCAGTGGCACAGCGGTATGTCTGCGGACTTACAACGCTAGAATCCGGGTTTCGATACCAGTGATGGGCAGAGCACAGATAACCCATTGTGTAGCTTTGTGCTTAATTACAACCATGCAAACAATTAATTGGTTAAATGAGTCAGTTATTATCTTCCACAAAGCGGTTGTGCAATTTGTGCTTAATCGGGTCATTAGGGATTTAATAAAAAAAAAAAGTAAGGCGAAAGTGATCTAACGTTGTCTTTTGTATAATTATTGTTTCCTTAAAGGGTAGTATAAGTCTTACAGATTTGTTAAGTGACTAAATAACTCTGATAAAATACAGAATTAAAATCGAGGCAACAAATAAGTATTACCACAAGATCAAAAACAAAAGTTTAAAAAAGTGATTCATTATCTTACTTTTCCTATATGTGGATTATTTATTTACAAAATTATCTTATCTTCCCTATATGTGGATTATTTATTTACCAAATTATCTTATCTTCCCTATATATGGATTATTTATTTACTCATTATCTTATGTTCCTTTTACGTGGATTCTTTATTTACTCATTATCTTATGTTCCCTTTACGTGGATTATTTATTTACTCATTATCTTATGTTCCCTTTAAGTGGATTCTTTATTTACTCATTATTTTATCTTCCCTTTATGTAGATTCTTTATTTACTCATTATCCCATCTTCCCTTTACGTGGATTTTTTATTTACTCATTATCTTATCTGCCCTTTAGGTAGATTCTTTATTGATTCATTATCCCATCTTCCCTTTACGTGGATTATTTACTGACTCATTATCTTATCTTACCTGTATGTGGATTATTTACTAACTCATTATCTTATCTTCTCATCATGTTCATTCTTTACTAACTCATTATTTTATTTTATCTTCATGTGGATTATTTACTAATTAATTATCTTATCTTCCCTTTATGTGGATTCTTTATTTGTCTGTGTCATCAAGGTAACAAGAGGCCGAATTTCATTTTAATATTTATTTTTAATCTCATATCGCTTGAACTTATTTTTCATGCGTGTAAAGTTTCATTCCATATTGCAATTAACATTTTTTTTTATTACAGTACAGTGTAGGTTTCAGTTTAATAGGGACGTTGACGAAATTAAAATAAAATTTTGAACAGTGAAAAGATTTTCTGTTCAACAAAGATCAGAAGTGTTTAATACTTGTTATACTAATATGCTTTAACTTTTTACATTGTAGGTTCTTTTAAACTGTGTGACATTTCTCATTAACAACAACAGTGGAGGCAGAAAATACTGCTTCTGTACACGAACAAAATAACAATTTTAATTGGATTTTAAACTAAAACGAATAATTTGGATGTTTAAATGATGTACACTCTTCATTTCTTAGCAATAAGAATTATTTTAATTATTTCACAAAAAAACTAATTGTAGCAAAATTGAAACTTCTTTTGCGTACCCATTTATCTTTATTGGATAATTTTCATGCTAGTGTTAAAACTTTTTAAAGTAAATCTTCTTAGAAAATATAATAAAACGATTTAAAACTCTCAGAGTACAAAGTAACATTAATAGAAAAAAATCACTCGAAATAATCATTATTAGAAAGTTTGTTGACGCTTGGCTGTGTTTCAGACATATAGAAATTGTCGGTGGTTTATATCGTCAGTTTTAGATTCTTTGTTTGCTTCAGATTTTCAAACAAAGCTACATAAGGGCTAACTACGCTATCAGTCCCTAATTTTGAGCTTATAAACTAGAAGATTAAAGCTAGTAAACAGCACCCACCGCCAAAACTTGTGTTACTTTAATTGATTAATGAAATTTGACTGTCAATCTTACACCTATGACTCTTAAAGTGTTGAGAGAGCTTTTTATGTTTGTTTATCGGGAATGGAACGAGAATTATAGGTTCTTGGATTCACAATTTAGCAGATAGCCACTAGTCCACTTCTGGATACATCAAATATTTAATGATTTATAGGACTGGACTAAATTAAACCGGCCGATTCAGTTGGTGAGTTAACAGTTTGCAGCAAGGCTTTGCTCCAGTAGCATCAACGGTAACAGCCATTGCTCGCGGTGGCCATTGGTCACGTGGCTCAAACTGAGTGTCTCTAGTGCCGTTAGTGGAGGCCATGCGGCGAGATCCAAAGCGAATCGAATTTCTTGGGCAGATTATCCCAAGGAAACAGGTTTTGAAGACATGCTTAAAGTTGATAGCGTAACTTCCATACACCAACGGATTGACGCAGGAATTGGAAACTGCGAATATAAATAGCGAAGATTGGATTTTGGAATCCACTTTGTTTGCCGATTCCCTATCTATTTGATGCCAAAGAACCATCACAACGTACGGCGTCCAGCACCAGAAAAATGCAGAGACGATGGTTATGGCCATTCGGAGAGTTCGTGTACGAGCTCTTTCTATACGAGTCATGTCGGACCTTCGAAGTCGAAGACGTCCATGGAATTGCTGCTCTTGGGATAAATCTCCTAGAAGAAATAAAACTGTTTCCATTTGACATCATTAAAATACTATTTCTTCTATCAAGTCTAACATCATGTAAGATACTATTTCTTCTATCAACTTTAACATCATGTAAAATACTATTTCTTCTGTCAACTCTAAAATCATGTAAAATACTATTTCTTCTATCAACTCTAACACCATGTAAAATACTATTTCTTCTATCAACTCTAACATCATATAAAATATTATTTCTTCTGTCAACTCTAAAATCATGTAAAATATTACTTCTTCTATTAACTCTAACATCATATAAAATACTATTTCTTCTATCAACTCTAACATCATATAAAATATTATTTCTTCTATCAACTCTAAAATCATGTAAAATATTATTTCTTCTATCAACTCTAACACCATGTAAAATACTATTTCTTCTATCAACTCTAACACCATGTAAAATACTATTTCTTCTATCAACTTTAGTTGATAGAAGAAATAGTATTTTACATGGTGTTAGAGTTGATAGAAGAAATAATATTTTACATGATGTTTTAACACCATGTAAAATACTATTTCTTCTATCAACTCTAACATCATGTAAAATATTATTTCTTCTATCAACTCTAACATCATGTAAAATACTATTTCTTCTATCAACTCTAACAGCACGTTCTTACAAAACAACTTAGGATAAAGAAGAATTCTCGCGTTACAAATATGTAAAATACTTACACTGTCTTAATGAATAGTTTCATTATATCATTTCTCAAGTACTTCGAGTTCGGAAAGATAAAAAAAAGCAATAACATGTCAGCTAAACAAAGCCAATAATTTTTAAAAAAAACGTTAGCTCCCAGGTTAGTTTATTTTGTTCGATATCCTCAAAATTGGTTCTTACTTTGATAAAAAAAATATTACGTTTACTCATAATGTATGCATACACCAACCTTATTGGAAATAAAATATATCTGTATCATAATAATAAAAATATTCAATCTTATAACTATTGAATTATTCTGGACATCTTTTTAAAAAGTCCTTCTAAACTCTCTAGATGACGCATGTTTATCTTAAAGTTATATGATAGCAAAAAGGATCCAGCTGAGCATCTATATTAATTTAAAATACATCTAACTAGATTTCACCTGTTTCTTAGTTGGGGAGATTTTTGTACTGAAATAACAAAGTAACAAAAGACAGCTGAATAAAAAAAAACATATGATATCTTAAAAAGAAAAAATAATTTAATTTTAACATGTAGATTGGCAATACTGAAACCTCGACAATTTAGATTGTGATCGCGGAAATTTTTAATTAGCAAAACTGGTTTTAATGTTGTTACTTTTTTGCGAAATGTGATTTTGTCAAGGTATCTATATGAATTTTTATCTCTTAAGAAAGAAGTTTCTAAAGTGTCTATAGTTTACAGTAAATCGATGTTTATATCTCGAACCAAAACAACACATTAATGAACACTTTCTTGGGACTATATGTAATAAATGTGAATATATTCAAAACATAACCTTCATATGGATACATTGCTCTTAAAAACTTAAACCTTCATATGGTTTGTTTGTTTGTAATTAAGCACAAAGCTACACAATGGGCTATCTGTGCTCTGCCCACCACGGGTATCGAAATCCGGATTCTAGCGTTGTTAGTCCTTAGACATACCGCTGTGCCACTGGAGGGCCTTCATATGGATACATTGCTCTTCAAAACACAACATTCATATGCATACGTTGCTTTTCAAAACATAATCTTCATATGGATATATTTCTCTTCAAAGTATAACATTCATAGAGATACATTACTATTCAAAGCATAAGCTTCATATAGACCTATTTTCTATTCAAACACAATGAATGTAACTGAATACAGATTTGATTTAGGGCAAAAATGTATGGAAAAAATACGTTTTAAACTAGAAATAATATGTTATTTATTTCAATCGAAATTATATCGTTTTTTTGTTGTTTCTATATTATCATATTGTACCTAATGTCTATTTTACTGCAAAATATATTGTTTTAACAACATTAATTACCAGTTCAATAACTGGGTGAAAAGATAAGCCTTAAATTGTTATAAACCTCAAAATAATTAAAATGGAACTACCGTCTTGAAATAAATAATGATAAAATTTTATAACTGACACAAAAATAAAGAAATCATTCAAAGACTGACACACAGTTTCTACTAAGTTTGGTGACGAGGAACTCACTTGTAGTCTCTATTAAACTCCAGCTTTATGAATACTTTTACCTGCTCGTCATAATATAAGTATCGTTTTAAAGCTTAATGTAACAGAGTTCATATGTGTTTCAGGAGCTGAGGAACTACAATGTAAAATATTACATTATTTCTGGTGTGGCTACCACCAGAGAGCTTGAGAACAATTGTTATATCACCAACTGTATCATTTCTGGTCAAACCTGATACACATTCCCTAGTGATAACGATTTGTAACATTTTTTGGTTGCACCCCCTCTTAGCTAATATATTTACTATTTCTTACCTAGTCTCCCGATGGATCGGCGGTAAGTTTCATGACTAAAAAGGCTAGAATTTAAGGTTTGATCTCCGCTGCGGACAAAGGTCTCAAAACCTATAAACGTGGCACTAAGTACTTGGTCGGGTTTTAAGTTATTTAGACGTGTTTATTCAAAGCACATAAGTCAGGTTGTTCTTCAGATACTTTAAAGAAGTGAAGAAAAAAATGTTTGTTTTAATGACAGTTCTCAATACTGAAGCAACCCGAAAAATGTATATAACCTTAACATATAGAAAAACAATCTATATTTATACTGAGAATATTTTCATGAAGCATTTTGTTTAACTGACGTTTCGGTAAGAGATATCTAATGTATTTTAGTCGCAACTTCTTGTCCCAAAAAAGTCTTTATATCCTAATGTGTTTTGATAGTAATTTTCTCTAAAAGATTTGATTCAACAATTATATATATTGTACACAAATGTGCAAAAAGGTAGCATAAAATCACATAAATATATATATAATTTCATACAATAATGGCTAAACATTTCAATAGGTTAAAACATTTTTAAAAATTTTACACTTAACTGTCACTTAACTGGCCCATTGTAGTTTTTAAGAAAATAAAACGAATAATAGCATTTCAGTTCAACTTGAATGTGTATTTTTCAAACACAAGTTGAGACTAGAAATCAACGATTAAGTTGGTTTTACAAAGTATTTAAGCAATGAAAACACATTAAATAGCAACTTAAACATTTGTAAGTTGTTTTTTTTTTATAAATTACGTTACTTCAAATGATATCGCAAAGTACTTATAAGATAAATACAAATGTATCAATCGTAAGCATTGTATGCTTCTTTTATCAAGGTCTATGGAGACTACGTTAAAGTTTCTGATATATTTTCACATAAAAATTAGTATTGTCATTAAATAACAGTTTAACAAAGAAGCGAGGAAAATAGAAAACTCAATAGTATATTAGAATCAATGATCCTTTCCCCCTAAACCCTTACTCGTTATTACTATTTATTTAACCTGTATTTGTAGTCAAACATTCTAGTTTATACTTTAATGATCCTTTCCTCCTAAACCCTTACTCGTTATTACTATTTATTTAACCCGTATTTATAGTCAAACATTCTGGTTTACACTTTAATGATCCTTTCCTTCTAAACCCTTACTCGTTATTACTATTTATTTAACCTGTATTTGTAATCAAATATTCTGGTTTACACTTTAATGATCCTTTCCCCTAAACCCTTACTCGTTATTACTAGTTATTTAACTTGTATTAGTAGTCAAACATTCTGGTTACACTTTAATGATCCTTTCCACCTAAAGCCTTACCTGTTATTACTATTTATTTAACCTGTATTAGCTGTCAGACATTTTGATTTACATTTACAAAAAAAAAGGAATTTCAAGAAAGGACTTTGGGATTTATTTTCAGACAAAACATGAAATCCAAATAAATAGCATTTAGTTAAAAGCCTTAAATAATAATAAAACTTAGAATCACTAATAATATTATACAATTAAAGTTTCTATTTCATTACACACACAAATCTACATTTCAAACAGTAGTTGTTGGAGACCATTACTTATGAGACAAGAAAATTCAACCAATGCTTAAAATCTTAGCATGACAAAAAGAAAAAACTGGTTTAAAACGTTAAGTAAATAGGTCAGTTTTCAGTTAAGAAAAGGGAAGTTGAGTACAAAATATACTACTTTTTCTAAAGAAAACATCTTTTTCGGTATTTCTATTTTCTAAACTATATACATATTTGTAAGCTGGGGTTTGTTTGTTTGTTCATGTTATCTTAGGGTTCAGTGTTAACAGTTTTTGATTTTCTCTTATTCACAAACGAATTTAAATGTATAACGTATCATTTGCGTTTCAGGTCAAGGCGGTGGGAAGATCAAGTGAGGCGAAGACCTCTTCTTTCCTCCATAATATGAGATACGTGTACGAGTTTATCTTGATGGACTTTATTAACTAATTCACGACGTTTTGTATATAATTACATTTAAGCCATGAGAGTAACCAGTGCTGATTAAAAAAAAACTGTGAATTATTCTATGAAAATAATAGCAATACTAATTGAATTCTCCAACATTTCATGCTGATTCTTACCTTCATTATCTCGGGAACGTCGGGTGATGACCCACAGAATCTTAGAATAGCAATAAATGATGATAATCAAGGGAACTCCGTAGAGGACTAGAATACAGAAGATGTTATAGGTCCTATCTTGCCAAGGATCCGAGAGAAATTCAAAAGTGACACACTGTGTATACTCTGGGAACTCTGGATGATGTTGAACCTTGAACAACACACACTAGAGAACAGAGACATATGTATATATATATATATATATATGTGTGTATTTTTAAACAATGAAAATGATAACTGAAAGTAAAGAAAAATACATTTAATAAAGAAAGAACAGTCGAAAACGAAATAAATTTAGTAACGTTTTCGTCTATTGACTGAAACAAGGCTTGTAAAAAATGAAGATAATTAAATTTTGTTGTTGATTTTAGTTTAAAATAAACCTTAGAACAGAGTAATGAAAACTCGAGATTCCTACGAAATATCTGTTCCATAATCTTATAATTCTTAGAGATTCTGTGACTCTTAAGACTAGCATTTCTTAGTGAGAAAAAGAAGAAAATCACAAGGAAGGCTACTAGACGAGTTGTGCTTATCTTTAACAATGGGCTGGCTATCCGTGCTGTGCCCACCGCGGATATCGAAATCCAAACTTTAGCGATATACGTTTTAAGACTTACGTTGATCCACCGAGAGGTATCTCTGAAAGAAATTTATACATACAACCTAGCGATAATCGAAAAATAGAAAACAACAAAAAAGAATATGAATGTTAATACTAGAGGTATGGGCGTTAACTCGCAATCTCAACCGTTATAATGTGATGGTCTATCCGACTATTCGTTGGCATAGAGAAACACAGGAGTTGGCGGTGTGTGATGTTGACTAGCTACATTCCCTCTGCTAAATTAAGGACGGCTACGCAGATAGCTCTCGAATAGCTTGAGCGAAATTCAGAATCAAACAAATACTTTATGCAACTCAAAGAGTAACGAGAAGTTAAACAACACAAACAAACAGTGCTTCCTATTACTACAAAATCACGATCTGTACGTTAAGACCCGGGTTAGTTATATTAGTGACAGTCAAATTTCACTATTTGATTATAGTAACCCAAAAGTTCTCGGTCCTCCCTCTAGGGGCGGTTTGTTTTTTGTTTTTTAAAGTTAAGCACAAAGCTACACAATGGGCTATCTGTGCTCTGCCCACCACGGGTATCGAAACCCAGATTGTAGCGTTGTAAATCCGCAGACATACCGCTGTGCTACTGGGGGGCCTCTAGGGGCGGATAGCCCAGATAGCTCTTGTGTAATGAATATCCGAGACAAACGAATAAACACATGGTTAATTCATGTATCATCTTTAATAAATATGCTGTTTTTTTCACCTTTCCTATTCACATTCAAATATACAGATAGCCCTTTGTGTAGCTTTGTACTTAATCGCAAGAACAACATAATTTTAAAAAGTATATAATTCGAACAAAATTTAGTTTTCTTTTGGATGTCACACAGTGAAAAGCTTAATGTTATTATTTAAGCATAAGATCTGTACTTTATAAATACAATTAAAACAGTATGTCTATGTTTGATTAAAATAAAATATGATTAGATCTACCGAACAAATAATTTTTTATAATACTGATTTATTACACTTTTTCACAAAGTTGATATGCTGTTCTATGCTTCATCGTTTAATTATTTCCAAAAAACACTTATGATTTTACTACAGTTTTCAAACTTAATTGCCATTGGTGATGGAAGTCAATATAATGAAAATGTTCGCAATAACATAGAAAGTGACTTGAATATTTCATTTCAGGTTTCCAGTGGAAATAGAATTTGAGTTTATACATTTTTAATCTTTGCTATTATTCAAAGTAAATTGCATGTTTGTTATTGGAGTAAAATTTTTCAAACAGCTGCTTAACGATATTAAATCAATAAGGTATATGTTAATACTGTTTAATAAATATTTATAATTTTGGTTTAAGACATGGAATTACACGAAAAAAAAAATAACGAATGAATATTTAATCTTCAAATTAAAATATTCATTCTCATTATTAGGAAAATTTCTAAATTAATATATATATATATGTGTGTGTGTTATTTTAATTACAATTAAAAATATTTTTTTAAACAAAACCAAGCCCTCTAATGATTCAGCGGTAACTCTGAAGACTTCTAACGCTAAAAACCGGGTTACGGTACTCATGGTGGCCACAGCCTATTGTGTAGCTTTGTGCTTAAGAACAAAGAAACAAACTAAACCAAAGTGTCTTTGTAATCAAATTCTCTTCAGTGAGGACAATCTTGTGACATTATCTTAATTAATAAATTCTTCCCAAATTTCTTAAAACAAACATCTCATGATTAAGATAGAGCCATAAGAGGACAGATGAAAATAGTTGCTTTGTTTGTTTGTTTACGTTGGCTGCAAATCTAAATGGCTTTTATGAGATTTTGCTAAAATAGAAAACAATATCAATTAAAACAGTTCTGTGTATGATTATGTATTTTCTAAGACAAAAAAGTAACCAATTTTATTAGTTTTAGAATTTTCGCGCAACGCTACATAAAGAGCTACTTGTTAGTAGGCGCTCCTAATTTTGAACTGATAGACTAGAAGAAAGGAAAATGGTCAACAATAACTACCGCCAACTCTTGGGACTTTACTGTCACTGGTATAGTGCACCACTGCCTTAAAGTGCAAAATACATTTTTACAAAAACTAACCACTAACTGTCACATTTAGAGTCCGATCACGCCAAAAACGAACTGTCAGATTCAGAGTCCCAGCACACTAACCGCGAACTGTCATATTCAGAGTCCGAGTACATTAACCACTAACTTTCAGAGTCCAAGCACGCTAACCAACAATTGTCAGATACAGAGTCCGAGAACTCTAACACTATGCCTCACTGGTTCCACCGATTTAATTCACGATTCATTTATTCAGTAGCGAAAAGCATAAATCTGGCTCGATACTAAAACACAATTGGCTCATAGGTTCCAGTGTTAAAATAAGTAGCACAAAGAAACTTTGTTCACAGTAGACCATTAAGAAAGTTGCATTTTCTTAACTTCGTCTATCCAAAATGTGTGTACCCTTTTATTTTCATTAATCATTAACTAAGGGTCATCCATTAAGGAAGCAAAAATTATATATAAGATAATGTTCCTCTTCTATCTTTCTTTTGTTATCAAATCCCTAATGACCTTATTAGATGCTAATCACAAAGACTCTTGGTGAAAGGTAATAATTGACTCATTTAACTGATTAAGTTTGTTTGTTTGTTTGTTTTGAATTTCGCGCAAAG